ACAACCACAAACACTGCAAGCAACAAAGATATCTGTGCACACAAGTCGGTCCGCCAAGGCAAATCATCACTCGTATCACCATGGGCAGCAGCAGCAGCAGCAGCAGCACGTCTCAAGACTCATTGACTCACAATTTGCGGACATTGCCTTCTTGATTGCAGAAAACGCCCGATATGGTGGCACAGTCATTGCCAGGCAACCACGTGTCACTCCCTGTGAACGCGCCCCACTCATTCTTCAGCTCCTGGAGTACCGGCCCTGGCGTGTAGCAACAGTACGGGAAGGAAGGGAGCAGATTGCATGAAAGATAAGATACTACCTTGTCCCTCGCATGGCCGCACACCGTTACATTCAAGGGCGACCGAGACACTCCAGCTCCTGCAGCAGCGGCACCGACCGCGGCGTGTGGTAACAAGGGAGGGGAGCAACTTGCATGAGAGATACTTAGATATGCCCCTCACAGGGGCGCGGTTGCACTACAGGGCGACCAACCGAGACATGCCCCTCTCACGCTTCAGCTCCTGCAGGGTTGGCCCGGGCCCTCTACTGCCTTCTAGCGAGGAGTCAATCGGGAGGGCTGCGTGGACGGAATGCTCCTCCTCGCTGGGATGCAGTAGAGGACGGCGGTGTGGTGAGACACTGCCGCGGTGTGGCTTGGGAAGGGAGTGGATAGCATTCTCCTCGATGGGAGGCAGGAGAGGGCGGTGGAGACACACACACCCCCGGCCGCACTCTCTTTTTCTCTCCTGCCGCGGGACCGGCCCTGGCGTGGCTATAGAGGGAGGGGAGCCAGCATACGGGCGGCACAGACGCACACACCTCCCACTCGCGTTCGTTCTTCAAGGACTGGCCCTGGGCGAGGGAAGAGGGAGGGGAGCAGCCTTGCATGTGAGGGATGCCGGCGCTCGTCGCAGGGGCACAGAGTCCAAGGGGTGAGAGACACACGCCCCCCACCCACTCGAAGCCCTTCGTCCACAGGAAAGGAAAGGAACCCCGGGCTGGCTTGGCATGGGAAGGCGGACTGAATATTGAGTCGACTCAACAACTGGAGTTGACTCAAAAGCTGAGTAGACTCAGAAGCTGTGCCATACTCAAAAGCTGTAACGCCTGTGGGCTGTGTTAAAGGCAAATAACATCCTCACTTTGACCCAATGGGTCTACTCAAAGGCAGAGTCGACTCAAGAGTTGCCTCAAAAGCCCCGTCCATTCAGAGATATTCGTCCGCAGGAACCCGGGCCGGCGTGGCATGGGGAGGCGGACATGGGGGCTCGCCCTCGGTATGGGTAGTACTATGGGTGGTGCTCGCGCGTATGCGTCAAGAAAGACGCGCGCGCCGCGCTCGCTCGTTATTTCTGGAGAGCGTGGGAGATGTCGAGGAGTGAGAGGGGGCGGCGAGGGAGAGGGGGATCTGGCGAGGGGAGAGGAGGTAACGGGGTTCGGGTGGGGGAGGCGGTGGGAGAGGTTGGGGAGTGAGAGGCTCCCCTAAGGCTGAGGGGGCGCGACAGCAGTATCAGCTGTCGCTGACTCGTGTCAATCAGGCTGACACCCGCTGCGTTCAACGTTGAAATGGTCGCGAGGCCACCCACACTGACTCTCTCTCACAGACGCCTCAGACGAGTTTTGCTTTCGTTAGCATGGCCGTTTGACGTCTGAAAATCAGTCAGTCGAACGTCGAAAGGCTTCAAGGTCACTCAAAAACGAAAGGCAGAAGCTGCACGCGTCCGCCGCATGAGTTGCGGAAAGGCGAAGAGTGGAAGGCCATGGAGGAAGGATTCAGGAACGCGATCGCCACGCATCTTCAAGGGAACATATGTGAGAGCATGTGAGACGAAAACAACCGTGTGTTCCCGTGACGGGAACGGGGGCAACGAAGTACGTGCTTCTGTCCAGAGTCGCATCAAAGGAGTAAGCAGGAAGCAGGAAGGAGTAATAAGCAGGAAGCAGGAAGGAGTACTAAGCAGGAAGCAGGAAGGAGTACTAAGCAGGAAGAAAGCTGCTGCGAGAGGGCGGTCCGACCGGTGGAGAAATGACATTTGCGGGTTTTCTTACATTGAGATTTTGCGACCTTGACCGCACGGGTCTCGGGCAGAAGGGGAAGCGGCGAGACTAATGCAAGGGCGATGGTGGCGACGGTGAGGCTCATGGCGAGAGCCATTGGGAGATGCGCTCCGGATATCACTGCAGGTCACCAACGGTTGGGGGACTGTCAGCCTGAAAAAAGTCTGGAGATTTGCCTTGTGTGCAGCCAAGAGGCAGTATTCGCTGTCCTGTTCATACTTTCTTAAATGTCTACGTGTGGAGAGAACTCCCAGATGTGTCTAAGAACAGTCTTTTAGGAAATACTCATGCTGACCCAGCCGTGTCGCCCTAACTCGACTTTTCTCATATTTGACTTTGGAATGCCATATAAGACAGATGCAGGGTAGCAACATTTTGCCGTGATCACCGATGCTGCTTCTACAACCACGAATAGTGTACTGCTGATGATGATGCTGTCTCGGTGGTTCTAAGACCTTGGCCCAACCTACTAGCGAAAAAGCGGTGACAAGGAGGCGGAAGGAAAGAACGACAAGGCTAGCAGGCAACAAAACGAATTCTCGCACCGAATTTTGCTTGTCCACAAAAAAAAAAAACAATCTTCATGGGAGCGGGACTAGGGCGCGTTCCTGGCTGGTGTCAAGCTTTGGGCCTTCCCGGGAAGACCCAAAGCTTCGGGTTAAAGTTCCTGTCAAACTTTGTGTTTTCCGGAAACAGGGGCAATTTTTGGCCGGAAGACCCGAAGTTGGTCTCGGATGACCCAAAGTGGGTCTAACTTCCGGTCATCCGCGGATGACCGGAAGCTTGACACGCGCCAGGAACGCGCCAATGTTCGTGTAGAATTTCCCATTAGAAAGATGCTGTGGAGCAGGTAGGGAAATTCTAGAGAGAGTCTACCCAGATTTGACGAGCTCTGTTTCCTTCTCACCCGAGGGTATTTATTAGCCTTCCAACAAGGGAGTCCTCCTTTGTAAGGAGGAGCGGTGATTATGGTCAAGTATCAGGTTGTAGAATCTCACTTTCACACTCAAGCAAAGTTCCTCTCATCACCATCGTCCATCCTTAAGTGCTAGTTCAGCAATACTTAGTGAACAACTCCTTGTTGGCACCTGCCCAGCTCAGCTCTCAAGACCGCATGTGGAAGTGGGTCACTGCGTGGATGAAGAACCTTTTTCGGTGTTGCCCTGACCGTCGGTCATAACCCTGTGGGAGAGCGAGGAAGCCAGGCGCAGTTGCTATGCTGGAGCGTGTTGGCAACTGATACTGTACGAGTGTCGCGTGCTCATTCGTTCTCCGACGGGCAGATGTGGTTGGTCGATCCGTAATATGGGGCTTGCGTGTCAAGAACGTGGTGCGCTTGATCGATGCTGTTGGTCTGCAGATTTTTTTAGCGAAGGAACATACTGTTCAAACTTCCACGCGCCTGGTTGAAGTTGTACAGCTGATGCTCATTTCAGTCCTGCATAGATACCTTGAGAAGAGGGCGATTCGTGCATGGATCCGTTAACGTCGCAGCTAGGAAAAAGAGGGCTTATGTAGTTCACAAAAGTTGCACATTGACATTTGACAGATACAATCGCAACCCTATAACCCTGAAAAATCGGGCCTTGTTTATCAATGCTGTAAAACAACCCTTTTTTTCTCACAGACCCTGGTGGATCAAGGCCTTGGACGAATATAGTATCAACGTCAAGCAACATGATTTTGAGCTGGTAGAAAGAATCAAAGTTGGAATAAGAATTATTGCTGAAAAAAACAGACAAAGCAGTGATTTTATTCAAATGCTATACAGCAAATATCATGATTTTTCCTTTATCTGTTAAAAAAATGTGGAAAAATTAGCCTCGGTACTTAAAAGGGTATGAAATCTCAACATTTTTTACCTTATAGGTCTGCGCTTATATTTGGGGGGGGTGTGGGGGGGGGGGGGGGAAGGGCATACGGTATATGCAAAGAGGAATGGCCGTAGGTTGGCGTTTGTATAATCAACTCAATCTGATGAATGCAGTACAACAGTCACCTCGCTCGAAGAGTGAGTGAGATGGGGAAGAGTGCAACCGCTTGCCTCCAGTTCGTCAGGTGTCTATCTTTTGGATGGTTGCTTACATGCTTTTCTTTCTGGGCAGCTTTATTTCGCCAAACCAAAACTAAAACTTGGTCCAAAACCAACACATTGAATGTACACCCTTGCTTTAAGTGCAGGTCTTGAATAAGCGCCGGGCGCTTATGAAAGGCATATGGCGCTTATATTCGGTCCTCAATTATAAGGGTACATTCCGCTGTGGACATGCGTCCCAATCGATGTGTCCCAATCGAGTGTACCGCTCCGAACCGCACTAAACCAGAGAAGCGAAAATTTTGAAACTAGGGTGTAATTCGGTGTAATAAGATTCAGTGCGGTAGAATCGATTGGGACACATCGATTGGGACGCATGTCCACAGCGGAATGTACCCTAAGTACACCCCCTAAAAAAAACATGATTTAGGGTTCATTCCTGAAGCGCGTCACAAAGGGCTCGCGTCTGAGACGAAGAGATGCAGTGCGGTGGAAATGTTCGATTCTTAGGTGTAATGCAGTGCAGACCGATACATTGGTTATACGACGGGATTGAGACATTTGTGTTAACACAAGAATGTACCCTTATTATAAGCGCATGTTAATTTTGTTTTTCTCATTTGTTGCGCGTCTAGTCAGAACGTTCTGTCATTAAGTCAGCATGTGTTGGCAGGGAATCAATCCCTGCCAAGCTGCGCGAGAATCAGATTCGCGACCTTAAAATATTTTCGACTCGATTACAATTGGCAGAACGAGATCTACAGTTTGGTGTAAAACCGATAGAGTTTCATATTTGCCATTATATTAGCGCTGGCAATTATAAAAAACCTCGAATATAGGCCAGCCCCCCAAAAAAACGTGTTTTATTATACCCCCAGGGGCTGGCTTATCTGGGGGCTGACAGTAGCTACAGGTTGAGGGCAGCAAGCACATGGTGAGTGGTGGGAAGTGCATGGTGCACATTGGGAAGGTCCCAGGGTGGCTGTTGCACGGAGGAGAAGAGCCAGGGAGCAATGGTGGCATTGAATGCTGCTAAATCAGGCACTAGCATGGCCTCCCAGTCCACCTGAGGGATACACGGATAGGTCAGACGAGGAGGAGGGAGGGATGGGAGGAAGGGAGGGAGAAGAGAGGATTGAGGCAGAGTCAGGCACTAGCATGGCCTCCCAGTCCACCTGAGGGATACACGGATAGGTCAGACGAGGAGGAGGGAGGGGTGAAGGAAAGGAGGGGAGAGAAAGGATTGAGATTGGGGGGTTGCTTAGGCTGGTGGTGGCATGGTGTGATGATCATTCAGGACAAATGCACTGCGTAGAATCTTCTCCTTTTCGTTTATGGGTGGGTGGGTGGGTGTGTGTGTGTGTGTGTGTGTGTGTGTGTGTGTGTGTGTGTGTGTGTGTTTGTGCGTGCGCGCGTGCGTGCGTGCGTGCGTGCGTGTGTGTGTGTGTGCGTGCGTGTGTGTGCGTGTGTGTGTGTGTGTGTGTGTGCGCATGTGTGTGCGTGTGTGTGTGTGTGTGTGTGTGTGCGTGTGTGTGTGTGTGTGTGTGGTTGCATGCATGGGCGCGTGTCTGTCTGTGCATGTGTGTGTGCACGCTCGTGTGCATTTCCAGTCCATGTGTAGGAGTGCATACAACAGTTTACGTGCAGTTTGGGCTACGTGTCCATATGTGTGCATGAGCGTACGTTAAAGCACATCCATGCATGCCCACATCTATGCGTGGCTGTGAGAGAGCGAGACAAGTGTGTGAGCGCACAGGCGAGTTAGCAAATGTGCAGATGTAACAGACCATCATGCATAGTAACAGACCAAACACATGTTGCACACACCAAGCGTGTCAACCACAAGCGGGCATGCCTCATTTTACCTGAATGCCTCACCTCACTTGCACTTCTCACCTCATCTGCACACTTCAACTCACCTGCATGCCCTCGGGAACAAGCGCAGTGGTGTGCAGGCCAGCAGCCATGGACAGACCCAGCACATCATGGCTGCATGGTAACTGCGGAACCGGTGCCTCACACACACCTGACTGTGCCTCATTCCTTACCTGCGTGCATCCTCTCACCTGCATTCCCTCGGGAACAAGCGCAGTGGTGTGCAGGCCAGCAGCCATGGACAGACCCAGCACCGAGATCCACCCCACCATCGCAGACCCTCTAGACAGGGGCGACAGGTGGTACCTGGGGGAGACGGGGGACAAGGGGAAGGGGACAAATGGGGGGATGGGGGAACAGGGGTGCAGTGGTGTGCAGGCGAGAAGCGATGGATAGACCCAGCACTGATATCCACCCCACCATGTCTGACCCTCTAGACAGGGGCGATAGGTGGTACCTGGGGGGGACGGGGGAGAAGGGGACGGGGTCAAAGCGGGGGATTGGGGAAAAGGGGTGCAGTGGTGTGCAGGCCAGCAGCCATCGACAGACCCAGCACTGAGATCCACCCCACCATGTCTGACCCTCTTGACAGGGGCGATAGGTGGTACCTTGGGGAGGGGGAGGGGGATGATAGAATTCAAGAATGGTTGAGTAATGAGCCAAGGAGGCTCTATAGTACAAGCATGCAAAGAAGAGAGGTTTGAAGAAGGAGCAAACCCTATTGGCCACTAAGTTGGCCAATGGGTGAGATGCCTTGTGGAGTAGGGAACCCCACAATGTTGCTAGCTTGTGATTGGTTGGCCTTAGGACCAAATGTTGGCAAGTGCCAACCAAGGACCAAGACCAAACCAAATCTTGACCCAACCACAAAGTGTGGTTGGAGTGTACACCCAACCCCCCAATAGCTTAAAGAGCTACACCTATTCTAGCCTATGTATGTTGTATATAAGATACATTTACAACACAACCCCCCAACATGCATAAGGCTAGAAAAAATGTAATCAGGAGGCCGCCAAAACTGGTGGCGGGGTGAGCCCAAGGAGACGCAACAGGAAGGAGTGGGACGCTTGGGGAAGAGCTTTGGTGAAGATGTCGGCGAGGTTGGCTGCCGAGTCGATTTTGCCAAGACGAATGTGGCCGGCCTCAACGAGATCGCGAATGAAGAAGTAGCGAAGCTCAATGTGTTTTGAGCGCCCATGATACACAGCGTCCTTGGTGAGGTGGATGGTGCTGGCGTTGTCACACCAGATGGTGGGACAGCGTTGGGGGGCTCCTAGCTCATCAAGGAGGAAGGTGAGCCAGCGTGCTTCTTGCGCGGCCATGGTCGCAGCGTAGAGCTCTGCTTCGCAGGAGGAGAGGGCGACGGCAGAGGAGCGTGTGGACCGCCAGCTGATGAGACCGCTGCCGAGGGAGAAGCCATAGCCCTGAGAGGACCGCCGATCCGGTCGAGAATCAGCCCAGGAAGAGTCGCTGTAGCCGTTGAGGAGTGGTCTGAGGGGAAGGGCCGCCAAGGGTGAGGACATAGTCCTTGGTGCCACGAATGTAGCGAAGGACACGCTTGGCGGCCTGCCAGTGCTCTTCCGTGTGCTTGCCAGCGCCAACGAACCGGGCGAGGACGCTGATGGGGTAGGCGAGGTCGGGGCGAGTGGAAACCATGGCGTACATGAGAGAGCCGATGAGTTCCGGATAAGGATGGGAGGAGGGAGAGGGAGAGGAGGGTGGGGAGAGGTGGTGCCCAACCGAGAGGGGAGTGGGCTGGGGGTTGCCGCGCGCCATGTCAAACCGGTCCAAGACCTGCTGGAGGTAGTGACCCTGAGAGAGTGAAATGGTGCGGGCGGAGCAGTCGCGAGTGATGGTCATGCCGAGGTAGTTCTGCAGCTCTCCCAGGTCTTTGCACTTGAGACGGCTGCCCAGCTCCGCCTTGACAGTCTCGAGCTCGGCAAGGTCGGCGGTGAGGAGGATCATGTCGTCAACATAGACGAGGATGTAGAAGGGGGAGGGGGAGGTGCGGAGGAAGAGGCTGGCGTCAGAGCGGGAGGTGCGAAAGCCAAGCTCGGCAAGGGTGGCAGCAAGCTTGGCATGCCACTCCCTGGGTGCCTGACGGAGCCCGTACACGGGTCGGCGCAGCTGCCAGACGGAGTCGGTGGGGAAGGGGAGGTGGAAGCCTTCTTGGCGCTCCATGTAGATCAGTTCACGTAGTACGCCTTGCAGGAAGGCGTTGGAGACATCCATCGAGTGGATCTCCATGTTGAGGCGAGCGGCGAGGTCGAGTACAGCGCGAACGGTAGCAGGTTTGGCGGTGGGGGAGAAGGTGTCGAAGAAGTCAAAACCATACCGCTGCGTGAAGCCCTTGGCGCAATACCGGGCCTTGTAGATGGGCGGCTCTCCTGGTAGCTGTTTGACGCGAAACACCCACTTCCCCTTTACCACGTTCGTAGAGGAGGGAGGGCGAGGGACATCAACGAAGGAGGAGTTGGCGATAAATGCCTCGAGCTCCTTGATGATGGCGGCAAGCCAGAGCGGGGCGTCGGGGCAAGCCATGGCCTCCTCGTACGTGGTTGGGACGAAGATGGAGGGAGCAGAGGAAAAGGCGAAGACTGGTGCTCCAGAGAGGTCAAGGGTGATGGGGAGAAGGGAGGGGTCGGAGAGGTGGAGGTCAAGGAACTCCTCATGGGAGTCCTCAGAGAGGGAGGTGTGGAAGGCGCGGATGACCGCTGGTGCCGCTGCTCGTGCTGCTGCTGCTGGTGCCGCTGCTGGTGCTGCTGCGGAGGCCGCTGCTGGTGCCGCTGCTGGTGCCGCTGCTGGTGCCGCTGCTGGTGCCGCTGCTGGTGCCATTGCTGCTGCTGCACTTGCTGCTGCTGGTGCCGCTGCGATGGCTGCTGCTGGAGCTGCTGCTGCCGATGATGGAGAGGTGGTTGAGGGGGCTGGTGCATGAGGGGCTTGATGTAAGACAGCCTGGAAGAAGTGACGAAGGAGGGGAGAAAGAGGGGGAAGGGAAGAGGTAGAGAGGGTAACAGGGGGCGGTGCACCAAGGATACTGTCACGTGACCTGGTGTGAGGATACCGGGTGAGTATGGTGCGGGGAGTGGGGGAGGGAGGTGAGGGTTGGGAGGGAGGGGGGGGGGCGCCGGGGGAGGAGTGGGCGGGGGAGACAGGGGAGGATAGAGGGTCCGGATCAAAGATGTCACCAGACGAGGGAGGGGCACCGTGGGACTGGGAGGGCGGAGGGGGAGGGGGCGGGAGGATGGGGGGAGGAGGGAGGAGAGGGGGAGGGGTGGTGTCAGACCAGACAAGGGGACGAGTCAGAGGTGGGAGTGGGTCAGTGGATGGAGGAGAGGAATAATACGGGGTGGATTCGTCAAAGACGACATCTCTACTGCGAATTAGTCGACCTGAAGGGGGGTGGAGGAAAAGATAGTCGGGGGAGGAGCGGTTATGACCAAGGAAGACGCAGGGAAGAGTACGGGGGGCAAGCTTTCCAAGGGAGCGGGATCGGTCGGACGGGTGAATGAGGACATATGCCTTAGAGCCCCAGACTCGAAGAGGGGAGACATCGGGTTTGTCCTTTGTCCATAGCTCAGTGGGGGTGGTGGAGGGGAGGAGGGGGTGAGGGTAGAGGTTAGTAAGGAGGGCGGCATGAAGGAGGGCGTAGCCCCACAGAGAAGGGGGGCATGAGGCGTGGACAAGAAGACACCGAGCCGTTTTGGTGATCTCCCGAACACGGCTCTCAGCGACACCGTTCTGCTGTGGGGAGTGAGGGAGGGTGTGAGTCTGGAGAATGCCGCGGGACTGGCAGTAGGAGGAAATTTGGGTATTAAGGAACTCACCACCACCATCAGAGTGAATGCGGCGAACAGGGCGGCCAAAGTGAGTGTTGGCTTGTTCGAGCCAGGCAATGATCGCGGTCGGGGCGTCCGCTTTCGTCCGAAGGAGAGAGACGGACGAGTACCGACTGTGGTCATCGACGAGCACGAGGAGGTAGCGATGGCCTTGGCGAGTGGGGGAAGCTTTAGGGCCCCAGAGGTCCATGTGAACAAGATCAAGTGGCTGAGCAGCAGCGGAGGGGGAGCTCCGGTGCGGCTGCTGCTTGAGCTTGCTCTGAACACAGACGACGCAAGGGGGGGCAGGGGACTTTGGGAGGGGAGGGAGGGAGGAGGGGAGACCGTGGAGGAGACCGGAGGATACAGAGGAGCGCAGAGTGGCGAAGTTGGGGTGACCTAGCCTGTGATGGAGGAGGATGGCAGGGTGGGAGAGGGAGCGATATGAGCAGTCAGAGTCAGGGGGGCGGGGGGGACGGGTGGGTTAGTGGAGGGGAGGGGGGGGGGGGGGGGGGGAGGAGGGGGGGGGGAGGCAACTTGGAAGGTGAGTGGGCGAGGAACCCGAAGGGTGTATAGACGGGAGCGGGGACAGTAGGGAATACGGGCGAGGAAGCGACCTGTGGAGGTTTGGTATAGGTCACAATGGTTAGCACCACCTGGGGTGAGAGTGGTGATCATGGATTGTTGGAGGGACCTTTGGGAGAGGAGGTTGGTGCGAAGGGAGGGAATGTGAAGACCTGTGACAGTACCTGAGGGAAAGAGAGGACAGGGAAGGGTGGAGGTGTTGTGACAGGGGATGGAAAAGCTGCTATCAGCGCCAAGGAGGGACGTGGATGTGGGAAGAGGATTGAGTTTGCCGGCATCTCGAAAGACATTATCAGTGGCTCCACTGTCCAAGACGAACTCAAGGGTGGAGGAGGGTGAGGCGGAATACTGAATTGAGGTTTCATTAATAGCAGGGGCATACATAGGAGATGCAACAGAAGGAGGCTGACTAAGGAGACCAACAAAGCCAGAGGAGGGAAAGGGGGTCACACTGCCACCTGTGGACGGCGCAGGGGATGGACTGGAGAGGTGGGCCGCGGAGGCCGCATTTCCGGCGGTCCAGCTGGGAAACGGCTGCTGCTAGGGAACAGGAGGAGGAGGGAGGAGAGGAAGCTGGGGCTGGAGGTCGAGCTGCTGCTGGAGCTGCTGAAGCTGCTCCTGAAGCTGCTGCCCATACTGCTGCGGTCCCTGCTGCTGGACACTCTGCTGCTGCTGCTGCTGCTGGTACTGGTGCTGCTGCTGCTGCTGCTGCTGCTGCTGCTGCTGCTGCTGCTGCTGCTGCTGCTACTGCTGAGAGGGGAGAGCGAAGGCCTGACGGGCCTGGGAGGAGGAGGAGGGGGCGTAGAGGGGAGAGGTGCGAACATCGAGGGGAGTGGGGCGGGGATTGAGGGCGGACCAGCGAGGAGGGGTGCCAGAGTTCCCACGAGCGAACCACTCATCGCTGAGTGCCTTGAAGCACGTGTCAGTTGCATGAGTGGTTTGGTTGCAGCGTTGGCCTCGGGTGGGGCCATAGAGGGGAAGATACTGACAGGGTGGGAAGGCCGCTGCTGCCCCACGACCCGCACCACCACGACCGCCAGAGCCGCCTCGACCACCACCACGCCCACCTCCACGCCCTCCCCCACGTCCGCCCTTGCCGCTGCGCTGCTGTGCTACCGCGGCAGTGGAGGAGGAGTGGCGAAGGATTTCAGCCTCAGTGGTGATAATCCACTGGGCAACTTGAGCGGGAGTGTCATGCTTGGAGAGGAGTTGCATGTATGCGAGCTTGTGGGCATCGAAGGCGGGAGTGAGGCCTTCGAGGAGGTGGCAGCAGATGACGGTGTCAGGGTAGGTAACGCCAAGTGCTGCAAGGCGGCGAGCAAGGTCAAGGACGCGGCGAGTAAAGGCGGCTGCGCCGGCAGTGGAATCCATGGTGATGGATCCAAATTCCTTGATGAGGGCATAGAGGGTGGCGATGTCCTGCCGGTCAAAGAGGTCGACAAGCAGTTGCCACAGGTGGGAGGAGGAGGTAGGTGAAAGCTCTCGTTTGAGGGAGGAGGGGATAGTGGCGAGGAGGATGGCGAGAGCTCGACGGTCAGCAATGCGCCACGCAGCGATGTCGGTGGTGTAGCTGGCGAGACGTGTAGTGTACGTGGTGAGCCGAGCTTGGTAATCGCGGTGGCGGGCAGCAGCCTCGTCGTAGGCGCGCTTGTCGTCCTCATAGCGCAGTTGACGGCGAAGGTGGTCGTTGAGTGTGGTGCGGTAGGCACGGATGGCAGTTTCCACGCTTTGAGGATTGTTGACATCCGGCGCGAAGGTGGGAGGATCACCAGGAGGCTCGGGCTCAGGTCCGGGCTCGTCAGGAGGAGGTCCGGTGGGGGCGGAAGGGGCGATGGGCTGGAGTCCGCCTTCCTCCTGGAACACGACGGAACGGAGGGTATATCCGCTGACGACAACCGAGGAGAGCAACACCTCGACGGAGTGGGCATAAGAGTGCCAGTTGGCGGCCGAGTTGTCGCCCAACAACTCGAGAGAGTCAATGGTCGCCAGGTCGACCGATGAGTCTGCGGACGCCATGATGGCGAAGCCGGGAAGGTGCCGCTGCTGGTGCCGTTGAGGGTGCCGCTGCTGGTGCCGTTGAGGGTGCTGCTGCTGGTGCCGTTGAAGGTGCCGCTGCTGGTGCCGTTGAAGGTGCCGCTGCTGGTGCCGTTGAAGGTGCCGCTGCTGGTGCCGTTGAAGGTGCCGCTGCTGGTGCCGTTGAAGGTGGCGCTGCTGGTTTAGGGTTAAAGGTGCCGCTGCTAGGTGCTGCTGCTGGTGCGATTAAGGGTGGAGTAGGGGGGAGGAGGTAGGGGAGAGGGAGGGTGGCGCGGAAGTGTGGGGCAGGGTGCGGATGAAGGGGGGAGGTCGCGGTGATCGCGAGCAGGCGACCGCGAGGGCGTGGAGGTCGGTCGCGGCGGCGCGCCGACCGGCCGCCCGTGAGAGCGCGAGGGTCGGCCGCGGCTCCGCGTCGGCCGTCCGCGTCAGTCGCGAAGGCCGGCCGCGGCTCCGCGGTGGCCGTCCGCGTCAGCGCGGGGGTCGTCGGCGCTCGCGCGCTGGCCGTCCGCGCTGGCGCGCAGGTCGGCCGCGGCTCCGCGCTGGCCGAGCGCGTCGGCGCGCGGGGTGCTCGTGGCCGCACGCTGACCGTCCGCGATGGCGCGCTGGTCGTCTGCGACGGCGTGCTTGTCGTCCGCGACGGCGCGCTAGTCATCCGCGACGGCGCGCTTGTCGTCCGCGACGGCGCGCTTAGTGAGGCGTGGCGGCGGGAGGGAGGATTGCTGCCACGGGAGAGCCGTTTGAGGCCGCGGGAGGGAGGATTGAGGCCGCGGGAGGGAGGATTGAGGCCGCGGGAGGGAGGATTGAGGCCGCGGGAGGGAGGATTGAGCCCGTGGGAGTGAGGATTGAGGCCGCGGGAGGGAGGATTGAGGCCGCGGGAGGAATAGATTTGAGCCGCGAGAGGCTAGGTCTAGGATGCGGGTGGGCGGATGTACATCGTAGCCCGCTAGAGTGGAGGAGCGGAGAGGAAATTACGGCCTAAGGATCGAGGGAGGTGGCGTGAGCCATTTGGCTCTGAATACCATGATAGAATTCAAGAATGGTTGAGTAATGAGCCAAGGAGGCTCTATAGTACAAGCATGCAAGGAAGAGAGGTTTGAAGAAGGAGCAAACCCTATTGGCCACTAAGTTGGCCAATGGGTGAGATGCCTTGTGGAGTAGGGAACCCCACAATGTTGCTAGCTTGTGATTGGTTGGCCTTAGGACCAAATGTTGGCAAGTGCCAACCAAGGACCAAGACCAAACCAAATCTTGACCCAACCACAAAGTGTGGTTGGAGTGTACACCCAACCCCCCAATAGCTTAAAGAGCTACACCTATTCTAGCCTATGTATGTTGTATATAAGATACATTTACAACAGGGGAAAGGAGGGCAGGGGGGTGAAATGGTGTGCAAGCCAGCAGCCATAGATAGACCCAGCACTGATATCCACCCCACCATTGCTGACCCTCTTGACAGGGGCGACAGGTGGTACCTGGGGGGAGTACGCAGGGGAAGGAAGGGGAAAGGGGAAGGGCAGGAAGGGAGAACATGGGGGTGAAACGGGGGAAAATGGGGAAGGATGCTGAGCTCAGCATGGGGAGCACGGGGGGTGAGAAGAAGGCGATGCCTAGAGTAGCGTGCTGCGCCGAGGGGAGCGGCTTGTGAGTCAACTCCGAAAGGCATTTCCCCCCTCCACGCAAAACGTTGACGAGAGACTTTTGAGTCGACTCAAAATGTTCCCCAACGCTGACGAGAGACTTTTGAGTCGACTCAAAATGTTCCCCAACGCTGACGAGAGACTTTTGAGTCGACTCAAAATGTTCCCCAACGCTGACGGGAACACTGACCAGACGGAGAAGGGAAGGCCTGCATTGGTGGGCCGAGGGGACTGACTTGTGACTGACTTGTAACTGACTTGTAACTCGACTCAGGTGGGGGACACTGACCAATAAAAGGCGAGGTCTAGAATGGCACGCTGAACCCTCTGCCTCTGCACCACCGGTACTTGTGACATGTCTGGCAACGGTGCCTTGTGTGAGTCACTGCGTGTGCCTGCCCCTCCTGCTGCCCGCTGCGCTCTTCTCGCCTCCACCACTGCTGTTCCTAGTGCCTGGCCCAAGCAAGGGTGGCAGTGGAGGGGTGAGGCAGACGCAGACGAGGGGCATAGAGAGGGGAGGACGGGGGGGGAGGAGGGGGAGGTTTTGGATAGAGGACAAAGGAAGAGAGAAGAGATAGAACTTTCTGGGTGAGAGTGTGCAGAGTTATCCGTACCCGACAGGCTGCGTCCATACTCATCTCAATACTCATCTCAGCATAGAATTCCTCAAGCGTCATCTCAGCATAGAATTCCTCAAGCGCTGAGGTGCCAATACAAATGGCAGAAACAAGCCCGGGAAAAGAGGGGGGCTACGCACGCACATGAGGCACACAAATGGGGCACCTTTCCCGGATCAGTCCCAACCGCCCTCACCTCCATCCCTGAGCTCAAACCCGCTCTCACCTGCCAGGGTGCGTCCATCTCAGATTTGAAGTCCATTCAGCGCTCGGGTGAGAGGCCGTTGGTAAACAGAAACCCCAGAGAGATGTGGGGAGCTAGGCACGCACACAAGGCCCCTTTACTGAATCAAGCCTGACCTCCTTCACCCCCATCCCTGAGTGTACCTGCCAAGCTGCGTCGAGCTCGGAATGGAAGTCCTTCCATCGCTGGGGTGAGAGGCCAATGCGAATGGCAAACACAAACCCGAGAGAGGGGGAACAGGGTAGGCACACACACAATGCACCTTCCCTAGACCACACCCGTACCCGCTCCCAACCCCATCCCTCCCTGAGTGTACCTGCCAGGCTGCGTCCAGCTCGGAATGGAAGTCCTTCCATCGCTGGGGTGAGAGGCCAATGCGAATGGCAAACACAAACCCAGGGGGGCTGCACCAACACACACGAGGGGCAGAGCCGGGCAGAGAGGAGAGTAGGCAGGCGAAATCACTTTTGAAATTTCTCAGAAGTTATTTTTCGAATGGCAAACACAAACCTGGGAGGGCTGCACCAACACACACGAGGGGCAGAGCCGTGCAGAGAGGAGAGGCATAGGCAGGGAAAATCACTTCTGAAAATGCTTATTAGTTATTTCCAAATGGCAAACACAAACCGGGGGGCTGTACTGACACACACGCGGGGGGGCAGAGTGGTCGTGGGTAGAGAGGGGCGAGGAGAGAGGTGAGGAGAAGGGGGAAAGAGAGAGTTGAGGGGGAGGGGGTTGTGGAGAAGGGGAGGGCTTGTGGAGAAGAAGAGGGGTTGTGGAAAAGAAGAGGGGTTGTGGAAAAGAAGAGGGGTTGTGGAAAAGAAGAGGGGTTGTGGAAAAGAAGAGGGGTTATGAACAATGAGAGGGCAAGTGAGCAAGGAAGCATATCCACGTGGTGAGGGAAAGGAACAGGACTGCATGAACGAGTGAGGGATAGGGCCTGGCAAGGGGGGGGGGCGTGTTTTAAGTCGACTCAATAAAAAAAAGCATGTCCATTTTTTGAGGGAGGGGAACAGGACTGCATGAACGAGTGAGGGTTAGGGGCCTGACAAAAGGGGGTGTGGGGAGATGAGGAATGGTGCAAGCAATGTAGCGCGCATGTGCGATGCGGGATGTGCGTGTGAGCGTGTGTGTGTGCGCGCGCGCGCGTGCGCTCGCTCGCATGTACGCTTGCGTTTGCATTTGCGTGTGGTAGAAAGAGATGCGTGGTAGCAATGTTGAATCCAAGACATAAAGAGTGACGATGCAGGGAAAGGGTGAGTAAGAGAGGTGAGAGAGCAATGAGAGAGCAATGAGAGAGCAGAGAGAGAAGCACACTGCTCTGAAGTGTGCAGACTCACACGTGAACTAAGGCGAGCTGGATCCCACCAATATCCTTGCTGTGGCGGCATGGGTGGGGGCAATGGAAAGAAAAGCAGGCTTGAAGAGGAAAAGAGATGTGATGGTGGGTGCATGCAAAGAGATGATGAAAATGAATCCAACAAAGGCTGCAGATGAAGGGATGGAAAAGGAGGTATATGGCTTGAGGTAGAGGGACAGTGGAGACTGCAGAGGATGCACGATAAGATTCACCCATGGTGGGCATATGATGCACACATGCATACATATGCATGTAACATCCACCCATGCACCCACCTATGCATCCAATAAGCACCCATCAACCCCATATGCATGGAACCAATGAGCACACATGGTGCACTCAGCCATGGTGAGGTACAAAGAGAGGGCACAGAGAGCCCAGTGAGAGAAGCTGATGCTGCCATGCGCCATCTGCACATACACAGGCACTGACGCACGCACGCACGCACAAGGATACATGCACGCACACACGCATGCACGCACGCACACTACTTACCTGATTCTCTCACCACTGGCCTTCACGCCAGCATAGACAGGGGCATGGTTCTGACACTGGCTTGGCCCCGCTCTAGCATCACCGTAGCATGTGAAAGTCGATGGCTGAGCGGAGCGGACTCAGAACAGAACTCAGAAATCAGGACTCACCCTGGGTGGGCTTGGCTGTAGCATGGTAATTGGACGTAGAAGTCCCCTCCCACTGCTGCATGTAGCTCTCTCAGCCCCGCTGCTTTCCGCACCTGCCCATGCCACCGCACCACAGAGCACCGCACAGCACCGGGCAAGTACAGCACGGAGCAGCAGAAAAAGGTGAGACGTGGAGTTGTGAAAGAGGTGCAAGGTAGAGGGAGGCAGGCAAAGGGAGAGGGAGGCACACAGAGGGAGAGGGAGGCACGCAGAGAGAGAGAAATGCAACATCGCAGCAGTGGTAGAAAACCCGCGGTGGTCGGTGGTCGGTGGCTCTTCAAAGGGGGCAGTCAGTCGGGTACCAAGAGAAATGCAACATCGCAGCAGCGGTAGAAAACCCGCTGCTTGAGGCAGTAGGAGAGGCCCCGTCACTTGGGGACTGCCTCACGGTCCTGGACCCCACCCTGGATCTCCCCTAGAGGGAGACACGGGGGGGGGGGGGGGGGGGGGGGGGCTGCGTTGCGAGATGAGTAGGAGGCTTTGATTTGTGACGACTGTTGCGTGCCATACCAATACCTTGCATGTGTGTACTCCACGATTATCAATGAAAGGGCCATTAGAGAGGGAGGCAGCAAGAGAGAGGCAGGCTGGCAGTGAGAGAGGTAGGCAAGCAGAGAGAGAAGCAAGAGAAAGGCAGGTGAGAGATGCGGAGATAACTACTACAACGGGAGCTAGACTACGGGCTAGGCACGAGTGCTCATGTGATCTCTGCGTTCGTTGGTCCTTAGTCGTTTTCCTAGTGCACACACTGCTTGCTAGTTCACAAGGCAATTTGGCAAGAGTTTCACTAGAGAAAGTTGACAATAATGATACAATCAAGTTGGCTAAGGAAGACTACATCAGAGCTAGGATGCAAGCAGGTCGACTGCCAGCGCAGCACGGTCGACCGCGTGCCAGCACGACTTGGTCGACCGCGCTCCAGCAGTGCAGGGACGCGGCTTGCCAACGCTGCAGGTCGACGGCGAGACAACAGCGCAAGTCGACGGCGTGCCAGCGTTGCTCCTGCAGTCCAGCATCGCACCCGCTTCGCATGTGCTCGTAGATGATTGGCGTGCACTGCTTCGTCACCTGCACAGCGCACACACCAAGTCCACCTCGTGCTGACGACTGCATCTGATGCACCACGTCGACCTCGGGATACCATCACCGAGGTCGTCCTCGCCAAAACCACCTGGGCGACCTTCGCAAGCCTTCGCAGCACCTCGTCACCCAGGTAACTTGGTCTACCGGGCAACCAGGTCGACCAGAGGCTCCAGTGCGTGCCCGTCGACCACCCAGGTCGACGACCACTTCCGGTCGACCTCCCAGGTCGACCACTGCCTCTGGGACGTGCCGGTCGACCTCCCAAGTCGACGGCCACCTCCAGTCGACTTCCCAGGTCGACCAGAAGGTTTGGTCGACGTCCCAGGTCGACCAGAAGGGCTGGTCGACTTCCCAGGTCGACCAGAAGGTCTGGTCGACGTCCCAGGTCGACCAGAAGGGCTGGTCGACTTCCCAGGTCGACCAGGAGGTCTGGTCGACGTCCCAGGTCGACCAGAAGGGCTGGTCGACTTCCCAGGTCGACCAGGAGGTCTGGTCGACGTCCCAGGTCGACCAGAAGGGCTGGTCGACTTCCCAGGTCGACCAGCCGAAGTTGGCGCCCTCATGAAGTCGGCGCCCATGCTGTGGCTCCAAGTGCAGGTCGACCAACCTCGTCGACCAACACACCCACTGCTGCAGGTCGGCTGCACCCTACACCCGACCACGAAGTCGGCTCCGCCCAAGCGAGGACGGGGCCAACATACAACTCCCGTTGACAAGAGAAGGGAGGAAGACAGAAGGGCAGGCACCTTCTTGAGCGCAGAGGCAGAGAGGGGTATTTTGGGTGAACCAGAGGCTGCTGTTGCTGAGCGCGTGGTGAGGAGTCGGTCCTTTATCAGGGCGAAGGCCCTGTGGGAGGGCGATGGCGGGATGAGAGGGGAGGGAAAGGCAGGCAGAGGCAGAAGAGAGGCATTCAGAGACTGCAGTGGCTGAGCGCATGGTGAGGAGTTGGTCCTGTATCAGGGCGAAGGGGGGAGGAGGAGGGAAGGGAGAGTGAGTTTGGTTGTGCATAGAACGGTTTTGGATATACAGAGGAGGGTGATTGAGAGGCTGAAGGGTTGAAGGTGAGAGAACTGTTAATTGTTGTACCTATGCATGCCCACACACACCATGCACCATGCACCATGCACCATGCACCCATATGCACCGATACACCATGCCCTGACGTACCATGCGCCGTTGCTTCAACACGCTCACGCACCTGTCGTAGAACCAGAAGTACCTGTAACTGTCCCCATCTGCCCATCCACTCTGCCCATCCACTCTGCCCATCCACTCTGCCCATCCACTCTGCCCATCCACTCTGCCGCTATACATACATCACGCTACCATACGCACCCATGCACCACCATGCACTCATGAACCCATACGTCATGCTTCCATGCATCCGCATACCTGTCGTGGAACTGGAAGTACTTGTAGTTGTCCATCTGCCCGTCCACTATAGGCGTTGCCGCCACGTGACTGCC